CACCCTCACTACCACTAGGCCATGTCACCACCCTCACCACCACTAGGCCATGTCACCGCCCTCACCACCACTAGGCCATGTCACCACCCTCACCACCACTAGACCATGTCACCACCCTCACCACCACTAGGCCATGTCACCGCCCTCACTACCACTAGGCCATGTCACCACCCTCACTACCACTAGGCCAGGGGCCGGCAACCAAAATAACAAGAAGAGCCATTTCTTTCCAATTCGGTACAAAATTCAGTATTTCAAGAGCCGCAATGCATCTGAGTACATACGTACTCATCGTCAAGAAGCAGCCCGTAAAGAGCCGCATGCGGCTCCGGAGCCATAGGTTGCCGACCTCTGCACTAGGCCATGTCCCCACCCTCACTACCACTAGGCCACATCACTGGGGTTGGGGGTGGGGGAGGGGCAAGATGATGTGAACATTTCTCGTCAAAATTCTCGTGAGGGCAGTTAGGATATCCCTGACGTCACTGATGACAACACTGATATCACTGATCACTCGTCGCTGATGTTGCTGCCTGTGCCCTGGGATCGAGCTCAGGCCGTCCGTTTGTTCGCACAGCGAGCTAACCGCAGCGCAACCGCTCCCAACCCTCCCTCCCCCGCACCCACACGCGCGCACATCACGTAGAGAATTGGTTACATTAATTAAGCAGAGGTATTGACCGTGTAATATAAATCTAGTGGTCGGTGCTGCTACTTGTATATTAGATCATGTCTCTGTGATGTATAATGTATCACTCCTACATGCCTAGGGGGGAAATTGCCAACACAAATTATGCATGAGATGCATTCTACACATCTTCAGAAATACACACGTCCTTTGGAATCTTCTTCTTTGGTACGGCTTCCGATGTAGACGCAGAGCAACAACGTGCAGGCGGTCAAGCCCAGATCACCGCGTCAGGAGTGGCAGCGGAGTTAGTAGTGTATCATCATCGCTGCAATGTCTCCTTCATGTTTGTCGATCGGGGCATTGCGTCAGTACACGTTGCACGGTCTCTGTTCTGGATGACCACACAGTCGCACCACTACTACTGGAGGGTTTGTAATTTTCGTTTTGTGCATCGTGTGGTATCCGCATCTGCTGCTGCTGCCGCCATGGATTTGTGCAGCGCGTGCCGTTTAGGGTGGAGCCATGACCAGATTCGTGGAAGATCAAATTCCAGGGGATCTTCTGCGTAGGGTCTTTCACAACGTGGCGATGTTTGTGCGCAAGTTCTTTTGAACTCCGTTCGGCTCTTCAAGCTTCATCGGGGCGCTGAACTTGCAACGTTGATTATAAAGTTTTTTGGGTTAGATCGCGTAAGTATTCATGTGTCGTAACCATCCACCACTCGACACAGCCAATTAGTAAGAGATTTGTCACTTCAGCAATTGTTTCTTGCTGTGGTTGTCCCATCTGATGATGAAAGCTTGTGTTGCTTCCGAAACGTCGTGATTAAATTTAGTTATTTCTATTTTTTTATTTTTTTTATTTTTATTCTTACTTTTATTTTCTACCTACGTGACTTTACCGAAAGAACCAAAGAGTATGGATCCCTGCAGTCACGAAAACTTCAACTCTAGACACATTTCTACCTACCCGATCTATTACGATGAATATTGGTCGCGAAAGCCTACTCCGTGTAAAACTCACATTGTTTAATGTCAAGAGAGTTAATGATGAAAGTGCTTGCTCACGGCACTGCTGGCCAAAAGGTGACTCCAAGAGAGAGCTCTAGACTCACGTAGAGACCCATAGACTCAGAGACCCATAGACTCACGCAGAGAACTATAGACTCGTATAGAGACCTATATTTGTACAGACACTTAGCTGACAAAGAGACACGTAGACTCGAAGACCCATATACTTATATACAGACCTAAAGATTCAAACAGAGACCTATAGACTCACATAGAGACCTATAAACTCAGACGCTTTGGCTCACAAATAGACAAATAGACTCAGAGACCATTAGACTCATATATAGACCTATAGACTTAAACAGAGACCTATAGATTAGTATAGCGGCCGAAAGACTCACAAAAATACACTTTAACTCACAAGGAAACCCATAGACTCACACAGAGACTCATAGACTCACAAAAAGACCCAGAGGCATATGGAGCCCTATAGACTCAAACAAAGACCTATAGTTCAAAATCAACGTTTTTGGGTTTAGATCGCGTTATTTATAAATGTGTCGTAACCCTCCACCACCCGACACGGCCAATCAGTAAAAAAGTGTCACGTTGACAAAAGACAAAATAGTTCACTGTTTTAGCCCACCGGTGTGTATATAATTACAATACCCCCCCCCCCCCCCGCCTCAAATCGTTGCACCTGATGAGTTGATGAGTTAATGATGATGTCACCCTGCTGCTGCTCTATTTAAGACCGGGAGCAAGAGCAGAGCCTCACCATTCTGGCGAATTGCCCGATGATGCTGGATGCAATTACGAGCGAAACGTCGTACTACAAAAATTGTAAATGTTGTGGTTTCACGCTTCAACACATCGGTGTGGGGCTAAAGTAGTGAACTATTTGTCTTTTGTCAACTTGACACTTTTTTGCTGATTGGCCGTGTTGGGTGGTGGAGGGTTACGACACATTTATAAATAACGCGATCTAAACCCAATCACGTTGATTATGAATAATATTGGTCGCGAAAGCCTGCCACGTGTTAAAAAGACCTATAGACTCACATAGACACTTTCACTCACAGAGAGACCCCTAGACTCACATAGAGACCCATAGACTCACGTAGAGACTGAAAGACTCACACAGAGACTCATAGACTCACATCGACCCGTAGTTCCACACAGGGACTGAAACACTCACACAGAGACTCATAGACTCACATTGACCCATAGTTCCACACAGGGACTGAAAGACTCACACAGAGACTCATAGACTCACATTGACCCGTAGTTCCACACAGGGACTGAAAGACTCACACAGAGACTCATAGACTCACATTGACCCGTAGTTCCACACAGGGACTGAAAGACTCACACAGAGACTCATAGACTCACATTGACCCATAGTTCCACACAGGGACTGAAAGACTCACACAGAGACTCATAGACTCACATTGACCCATAGTTCCACACAGGGACTGACAGACTCACACAGAGACTCATAGACTCACATTGACCCATAGTTCCACACAGGGACTGAAAGACTCACACAGAGACTCATAGACTCACATTGACCCATAGTTCCACACAGGGACTGAAAGACTCACACAGAGACTCATAGACTCACATCGACCCGTAGTTCCACACAGGGACTGAAAGACTCACACAGAGACTCATAGACTCACATTGACCCATAGTTCCACAAAGGGACTGAAAGACTCACACAGAGACTCATAGACTCACATTGACCCGTAGTTCCACACAGGGACTGAAAGACTCACACAGAGACTCATAGACTCACATTGACCCGTAGTTCCACACAGGGACTGAAAGACTCACACAGAGACTCATAGACTCACATTGACCCATAGTTCCACACAGGGACTGAAAGACTCACACAGAGACTCATAGACTCACATTGACCCATAGTTACACACAGGGACTGACAGACTCACACAGAGACTCATAGACTCACATTGACCCATAGTTCCACACAGGGACTGAAAGACTCACACAGAGACTCATAGACTCACATTGACCCATAGTTCCACACAGGGACTGAAAGACTCACACAGAGACTCATAGACTCACATCGACCCGTAGTTCCACACAGGGACTGAAAGACTCACACAGAGACTCATAGACTCACATTGACCCATAGTTCCACAAAGGGACTGAAAGACTCACACAGAGACTCATAGACTCACATTGACCCGTAGTTCCACACAGGGACTGAAAGACTCACACAGAGACTCATAGACTCACATTGACCCGTAGTTTCACACAGGGACTGAAAGACTCACACAGAGACTCATATACTCACATTGACCCATAGTTCCACACAGGGACTGAAAGACTCACACAGAGACTCATAGACTCACATTGACCCATAGTTCCACACAGGGACTGAAAGACTCACACAGAGACTCATAGACTCACATTGACCCATAGTTCCACACAGGGACTGAAAGACTCACACAGAGACTCATAGACTCACATTGACCCATAGTTCCACACAGGGACTGAAAGACTCACACAGAGACTATAGACTCACATCGACCCATAGTTCCACACAGGGACTGAAAGACTCACACAGAGACTCATAGACTCACATTGACCCATAGTTCCACACAGGGACTGAAAGACTCACACAGAGACTCATAGACTCACATTGACCCATTGTTTCACACAGGGACTGAAAGACTCACACAGAGACTCATAGACTCACATTGACCCGTAGTTTCACACAGGGACTGAAATACTCACACAGAGACTCATAGACTCACATTAACCCGTAGTTCCACACAGGGACTGAAAGACTCACACAGAGACTCATAGACTCACATTGACCCATAGTTCCACACAGGGACTGAAAGACTCACACAGAGACTCATAGACTCACATTGACCCATAGTTCCACACAGGGACTGACAGACTCACACAGAGACTCATAGACTCACATTGACCCATAGTTCCACACAGGGACTGAAAGACTCACACAGAGACTCATAGACTCACATTGACCCGTAGTTCCACACAGGGACTGAAAGACTCACACAGAGACTCATAGACTCACACAGAGACCCTATAGATGCAAGTAGGGACCTGTGGATTCGCAAAGCCCTGAGTCGTGATTAAACCGGGCTCTGGTGGTCAGCGAGTGGATCAACTGCAAAACACTGTCTGCTTGGCGGCGTAACGTTTTGGGCCTTTGGACCTTTGCTAAGGTAAACCCGGGAAAAGGGAAAATCATTTAATAATAAAAAATAATAATATATGGGAGGGGCCAAAAATATAATAATAATAAAATAAAAAATGTGTAATTGTCGACCCGTGGTGTCGGGGCTGCCTTTGCCGCTCACCGTCTTGGGCTTGAAGGGCGGCTGGATCTCGCGTCGCTCCAGCCTCTCCCAGTCGATGCGCCGGAAGAAGGCGTGCTCGCGGATGTCTCGCTCGCCCTCGGGCCCGCAGCCCAGCCGCTTGCCCGGGTGCTTGGTCAGGAACTGGCGTCACAGCGCGCCGCGTGTGGGGGGACGGGGGGGCGGGGGGACGGGGGGGGAGAGGAAACAACAACAACGAGGTAAGTGATCGACGTGCGACACCGTCGCGCGGCCGTCGTGACGGGGTCCTGCCAATAACACGGCCCAGCGGTGACGTGTCCCAGGGGTGGTATGGCCAAACCAGCTCTGGTAACGGTCGCGCTGGCAATGGTTGCACTGGCACCGGTCGCGCTGGCAACGGTCGCGATGGCAACGGTCGAGATGGCAACGGTCGCGATGGTAACGGTCGCGATGGCAACGGCCGCGATGGCAACAATCGCGATGGTAACGGCCGCGATGGCAACGGCCGCGATGGCAACGGCCGCGATGGCAATGGCCGCGATGGAAATGGTCGCGATGGAAACGGTCGCGATGGAAACGGTCGCGATGGAAACGGTCGCGATGGTAATGGTAGCGATGGAAATGGTCGCGATGGAAACGGTTGCGATGGTAACGGCCGCGATGGAAATGGTCGCGATGGTAATGGTAGCGATGGAAATGGTCGCGATGGTAACGGTAGCGATGGTAACGGCTGCGATGGAAATGGTCGCGATGGTAACGGTAGCGATTGCAATGGTCGCATTGGCAACTGTCACGTTGGTAACGGCCGCCCTGGTAACGGCCGCGATGGTAACGGCCGCGATGGTAACGTCCGCCCTGGTAACGGTCGCCCTGGTAACGACCGCCCTGGTAACGGCCGCGATGGTAATGGCCGCGATGGTAACGGTCGTGATGGTAACGGTCGCGTTGGCAACGTCTGCCCTGGTAATGGCCATGCTGCCAATGGCCGACCTGGTAACGGCCGCGCTAGTAATGGTCACGATGGTAACCGTTACGCTCGTCGTGATTGCAACCAACGGGCACGCGAAATAAATAAATAACAAACAAACAAGCACACGGCCTGGAAAAAACAAAAAAAATATCCGCTCGCAAGACACACGGCACAGCTAAATTGCCAATGAATTAAAGTGCGTGCGGCCAAAGCCACCGGATCGACATTTGCCATCGACCGTCACACACAGCCACCACGCGGGGTTTGGCGGCCGGGCCCACCCGGCGTGCCGTCGACCTGGTGGAAGGAGTGGACTGCTCCACTCAGCTACCCCGATACAACCACACGTGTCCTGGTGGAGCGAGTGGACTACCCCACTCAGCTACCCCGATACAACCACGCGTGGTGGAGCGAGTGGACTACCCCACTCAGCTACCCCGATACAACCACACGTACCCTGGTGGAGCGTGTGGGCTACTAAAAAAAAAAATCGGCGGAGAGGTGGGAACTGATCAATTAACAAATTAATAAATTATCTTTTTGACAAATTATTTTATTCATTAATCGAATAATTAGCACGCGAAGGATGAGCGCGTGGCGGCGACGGTTGTCCATCGCTCGCGAATGACGCGGAAACGCCGGACCCGGAGTTTCACAATTGGCAGATTCCAGGCGGATAGCGTTCAGAAGGGGGGGTGGGGTTTTGAGGTGTCGGCACGAGGCAATTTAAGAAGAAAGGAATTTTTTGAGATAAGAGCCAACACCGGCTCTCCGGGCCGCTCACTCAGGAGCGCTCCACTCGCGATTGCGGGAGCGGGCGAGCGGGCGGGCAGACGGGCGGGCGGGCGAGAGATAAGAGCCCCTCAGCCGCTCGGCAGTCTCCATTAAATGCTCCGTCGCTCGTCTTGCCGTGAGATGCCGCGGCGAGATTCGAGTCGTGCGAAGCGGGGGAAGGTGGGGGGGGGGGGGGGGCGGGGGTGGGGTGGTGAGGGGGCCCTGCCCCCCTGTCTCTAGAGGGGGGGGGGAGGCCCGGATGTGGCGCGGATCGGCTGCTCGTCGCAGAGACTCGAGCTCCGAATCTAGCCACACGCCACCGGTGGCTAGGAGATGTTAACTACTTCGCCTGGTGTACAGGAGGTCGTGGGTTTGATCCCTACCCTGCCGACGCCTGCTGCTGTATATTTGGAGTTTGCGTGTCTCTCTCTCTCATCACGATCATCACGGTGGCTAGGAGATGTTAACTACCTCGCCTTGTGTACAGGAGGTCGTGGGTTTGATCCCTACCCTGACGACACCTGCTGTTATTTGGAGTTTGCGTGTCACTCTCTCTCTCTCGCTCTCATCACGATCATCACGGTGGCTAGGAGATGTTAACTACCTCGCCTGGTGTGCAGGAGGTCGTAGGTTTGATCCCTACCTTGACGACGCCTGCTGTGTATTTGGAGTTTGCGTGTCTCTCTCTCATCACGATCATCACGGTGGCTAGGAGATGTTAACTACCTCGCCTGGTGTACAGGAGGTCGTGGGTTTGATCCCTACCCTGACGACGCCTGCTGCTGTGTATTTGCAGTTTGCGTCTCTCTCTCTCCCCGTGGTCGCGTGAGAAGAAAGACTCCGAACAGAAAATATCTCGAGGACGACATCAAAAGAGATCGGTGCCGGAAAAAGATGTGGCCGACTGCTCGAGCATAACGACGAAATGTGAAGTGGACACCGACTATGGGCTCTCTGCCCACGGATCGCGAGGATAGCGATGATGATGGTCGTGATGATGATGGTGATGGTGGTGATGATGGTCGTGATGATGATGGTGATGATCATGATGATTGTGATGGTCGCGATGATGATCGTGATGATCGTGGTGATGGTGATGGTGGTGATGATGATTGTGATGATGCTCGTGATGATGATGGTGATGATCATGATGGTCGTGATGATGATCGTGATGGTCCTGATGATGGTCGTGATGGTCCTGATGATGGTGATGGTGGTGATGGTCCTGATGATGGTCGTGATGATGGTCCTGATGATTGTGGTGATTGGGATAATGATGGTCGCCATGGTCATGGTGATGGTCGTGATGATCGTGGTAATCAGAATGATCAGGATGATGATGGTGATGATGGTCGTGATGATGGTCGTGATGATGGTGGTGATCAGGATGATGATGATGGTCGTGATGGTCGTGATGATGATGGTCGTGATGATGCTCGTGATGGTGATGGTCGTGATGATAATCGTGATGGTCGTGGTGATGGTTGTGATGATGGTCGTGATGATAGTGATGATAGTGATGGTCATGATAATCGTGATGATGATGATGATGGCGATGATCGCGATGATGGTGATGATGGTGATGATCGTCATGATCTTGATGATCTTGATAATGATCGTGATGATGACAGTGGTCATGACATTGGTGATGATGGTGATGACCGTGGTTATGAACGTGGTGATGACCGTGACGACTCCGATTCTGACTCACCCCCTTGCAGATGGAGATGGACTCCTTGGACATGGACTTGGGGTAGGAGACGTTGTGCTCCATGATGGACTGGAACAGCTCGTCCTCATCCTCCCCGTCGAACGGCGGCTACGCAAATCGACAAACGAAGAGAGAAAAAATTAACCTGTAAAAACAAAGTTCACTCTAAATCCTTTATATGCGTGGCGGCTAGAGTCCTCTCGTCCTCTGGCTTGAGATGGCTGCCACCTATGGGTCAGATGATTGTCTGCCAGCATTAAGCAATTGGTAATTAAATATTTAAAAGAATTCCCCTAAAAAGTGTAAAATTTTGGAAAAATGTTTTCACGAAAATTAATTGTCACACACAACGAGTCTGTGTGGAAAATGTCAGCTCGATTAGATCACGGGAAGTGGGGTAAAAAACGACCGAAAGATTTGCACGGTCGTAAGCAAGCGCGCAAGCACGCAAGCAAGCAAGCGAACTTAATATAAAGGATAAAAAAACGACGGAGTTTGCCCCTTGCCGATACTCATACGGTGGTGCGACAGAAGTCCTACAAACATTCACGCAACCCCATTGTACTACCACACAATTCACTGCAATGCCACACACTATACATCACACTATGAAACGCTACACCACTGTGCCACATTAAAAACGAATTTCTTTGTCTACGTATGGTGCGTAAGAAGTTCAACATACACACACACATAGCACGGTTGGCCACGTATGGTGCTTAAGAAGTTCAACATACACACACACATAGCATGGTTGGCCACGTATGGTGCTTAAGAAGTTCAACATACACACACACATAGCATGGTTGGCCACGTATGGTGCTTAAGAAGTTCAACATACACACACACATAGCATGGTTGGCCACGTATGGTGCATAAGAAGTTCAACATACACACACACATAGCATGGTTGGCCACGTATGGTGCATAAGAAGTTGAACATACACACACACATAGCATGGTTGGCCACGTATGGTGCTTAAGAAGTTGAACATACACACACACATAGCATGGTTGGCCACGTATGGTGCATAAGAAGTTGAACATACACACACACATAGCATGGTTGGCCACGTATGGTGCTTAAGAAGTTGAACATACACACACACATAGCACGGTTGGCCACGTATGGTGCTTAAGAAGTTGAACATACACACACACATAGCACGGTTGGCCACGTATGGTGCTTAAGAAGTTCAACATACACACACACATAGCACGGTTGGCCACGTATGGTGCATAAGAAGTTGAACATACACACACACATAGCATGGTTGGCCACGTATGGTGCATAAGAAGTTCAACATACACACACACATAGCATGGTTGGCCACGTATGGTGCATAAGAAGTTCAACATACACACACACATAGCACGGTTGGCCACGTATGGTGCTTAAGAAGTTCAACATACACACACACATAGCACGGTTGGCCACGTATGGTGCATAAGAAGTTGAACATACACACACACATAGCATGGTTGGCCACGTATGGTGCATAAGAAGTTCAACATACACACACACATAGCATGGTTGGCCACGTATGGTGCTTAAGAAGTTCAACATACACACACACATAGCATGGTTGGCCACGTATGGTGCATAAGAAGTTCAACATACACACACACATAGCATGGTTGGCCACGTATGGTGCTTAAGAAGTTCAACATACACACACACATAGCATGGTTGGCCACGTATGGTGCATAAGAAGTTCAACATACACACACACATAGCACGGTTGGCCACGTATGGTGCTTAAGAAGTTCAACATACACACACACATAGCATGGTTGGCCACGTATGGTGCATAAGAAGTTCAACATACACACACACATAGCACGGTTGGCCACGTATGGTGCTTAAGAAGTTCAACATACACACACACATCCAGACGTAACTTTGTGCGATCCGATGGATCACTACACGACTCTATTGACCTTATAATTTTGGTTCTTTAAGATAATTTTCTTATTGTGTTTGATTTTGATTATTTTATTATTTCCCTTCTACGTGACTTTACCGAAAGAACCAAGAATATGAATCCCTGCAGTCACGAAAGCTTTAAATCGAAATAAAATCCATTCACCTTGACGGATCTCTACGTTAACGCCACGGGTCTCTATGGATCTCTATGGATCTCTATGCAACTCCATTGACCTCCATGGATCTTTATGTAACTCCATTGACCTTGACGGATCTCTACGTGAATGCCACAGGTCTCTATGGATCTCTATGCAACTCCATTGACCTCCATGGATCTCTATGTAACTCCATTGACCTTGACGGATCTCTACGTGAATGCCATGGGTCTCTATGGATCTCTATACAACTCCATTGACCTCCATGGATCTCTATGTAACTCCATTGACCTTGACAGATCTCTACGTGAATGCCACGGGTCTCTATGGATCTCTATGCAACTCCATTCACCTCCATGGATCTCTATGTAACTCCATTAACCTTGACAGATCTCTACGTGAACGCCACGGGTCTTTATGGATCTCTATGTAACTCCATTGACCTCCATGGATCTCTATGTAACTCCATTGACCTTGACAGATCTCTACGTGAATGCCACGGGTCTCTATGGATCTCTATGCAACTCCATTCACCTCCATGGATCTCTATGTAACTCCATTGACCTTGACGGATCTCTACGTGAATGCCATGGGTCTCTATGGATCTCTATGCAACTCCATTCACCTCCATGGATCTCTATGTAACTCCATTGACCTTGACAGATCTCTACGTGAACGCCACGGGTCTTTATGGATCTCTATGTAACTCCATTGACCTCCATGGATCTCTATGTAACTCCATTGACCTTGACGGATCTCTACGTGAATGCCACGGGTCTCTATGTATCTCTATGCAACTCCATTCACCTCCATGGATCTCTATGTAACTCCATTGACCTTGACGGATCTCTACGTCAACGCCACGGGTCTCTATGGATTTCTATGCGACTCCATTCACCTCCATGGATCTCTATGCAACTCCATTGACCTTGACGGATCTCTACGTGAATGCCACGGGTCTCTATGGATCTCTATGTAACTCCATTCACCTCCATGGATCTCTATGTAACTCCATTGACCTTGACAGATCTTTACGTGAATGTCACGGGTCTCTATGGATCTCTATGCAACTCCATTCACCTTCATGGATCTCTATTTCACTCCATTGACCTTGACAGATCTCTACGTGAATGCCACGGGTCTCTATGGATCTCTATGCAACTCCATTGACCTCCATGGATCTCTATTTAACTCAACGGATCTCGCCGCAACTCCAATGCCCGTAACTGCCGCCGATGTCCTGGGCTGGCGTTGGTCCTTGCAAACAAACCCGAGCTGCCGAGCTTGACGGGGCCTCAGCAGGCCACTCTCCCGGGGGTTTCGCGGCTGAGCGAGTAAGAGTAAAAAAAAAACTTTTCCCGCGACAAAGGGCGGCCGAACTCACCTGTCCGGCGAGCATCTCGTAAAGCAGGACGCCGAACGCCCACCAGTCCACGGACTTCCCGTACGGCTGGTACGCGATGATCTGGCACGGGAAAAACGGCGAAACAATCGGCAAGCGTGCTCGCTGAAGGGAGCCGCGCGGATATACGCGAGCCACGCTTTTCCCGCCGGCTGGCGACAACCGAACAGGGGCCGGGGTGGTGCCGTCACGGTTACCGGGTGATTTGTGCCCCCACTGGCTGTTTGCCGAACCGTGCCGGAACCGATCCGTGAATCGTCGGCCGCACACGAAGACATCTGAACCTGGCTCGGGGTCAAGTAGGGCCACGGGCGTGTGACGCTCGTTCACCGCGTCACCCACGCACGTGTCCCCTCGTTCACCGCGTCACCCACGCACGTGTCCGCTCCTTCACCGCGTCACAAACACACAACTCCGCTCCTGCACCGCGTCATCCACACACAACTCCGCTCCTTTACCGCGTCACCCACACACGTGTCCCCTCGTTCACCTCGTCACCCACACACATCTCCGCTCCTTCACCTCGTCACCCACACACAGCTCCGCTACTTCACCGCGTCACCCACGCACGTGTCCGCTCGTTCACCACGTCACCCACACACCACTCCGCTCCTTCACCGTGTCACGCACGCACGTGTCCACTCCTGCACCGCGTCACCCACACACAACTCCGCTCCTGCACCACGTCACCCACACACAACTCCGCTCCTGCACCACGTCACCCACACACAACTCCGCTCCTTTACCGCGTCACCCACACACGTATCCGCTCCTTCACCTCGTCACCCACACACAGCTCCGCTACTTCACCGCGTCACCCACGCACGTGTCCGCTCATTCACCACGTCACCCACACACAACTCCGCTCCTTTACCGCGCGCGTGCGTGACGTCAGTCAGTGCACGCGTGCGAGCGACGCGCCGTCACCGCACGTCGCCCACACACGGCGTCTCTCGGCGGCCAGGCAGCGGAGCTGTATCCGACGGGAACGCCCACACCGTGGAGACGAAGCAGCCAAACATCGTCTCGCGACAGAGATGTCGACCGGGAGGAGGGGGGGGGGGGGCGGGGGGCGGGGGGCAGTCGTCTTCATCCAGCAGCGGATCGAGCTCGTCCGGCGTCGCCTGGCGCACAACGGCGGGTGCGGCACAGGCGTTAACGATTACAATCTTTGCGCCGCAGATCCGTACCAAGCCCACACCGGGCGGCAGCCCCACGCCCTCCGCCCCGGTGAGGCAAAGGTCACGGAGGAGGGGGGGGGGCAATGGGTAAATGCATCACCCCGGAGCGAGGTGGTCCGGGGGACGCGCTGCGGCGACCCTAATGGCGGTCGAAATCGCGTCAGGGCCGCGCGTCTCCTGGAATGCGCGTCACGCTTTGCTTCACCTCCAATTGTGCGAATGCGTTTTGTTCTTCGTCTCTCTCGCTGCGGGGGTGGGGGAGCAGGGGGGGGGGGGGTTGGACGAGCGGGTAAATAATGAAGAGATAAAGAAAGCTCGGCGTGAGAGGCGCACAACGCTCGATCCCCAGCGGACGCCGCGGGGAGAGAGCGAGAGGGAGAGAGGGGGGAGAGATGGTGAGCTTTGATGTGAATGATAATGCACTGCCACTCAACCTTGAGTGCTCCTCTTTCACGGGTTAGTGGCCATTTATGGAGCCAGGCTTTTGGCCTATGATCCGCTGATACTCTCTGTACAAAAAGCCCTCCCCTCCCCCACCCCTCACCCGTCAACTTACGTGGCCATTTGCCCAAAACATCTTCCACACGGTGCCGCGGCATTCGCCTGCTACGGCAGAGGCGTAAGGGAGTTCCAACGGGACCGACATCTTCACTTCATTGACATGCTCAGGGCACTACGCGATACTACCAGCAGGCCTGTGGCAGAGGTCGCAATCGGGTACCCGATACCCGTATCCTACCCGATACCCGGCTACCTGTACCCGGCCGGGTACGGGTACGGGTACCCGTTTGCGACCCTGGTGCGGCCGGGTACAGGTACGGGTAGGCCGTGAGTCACTGGTGAGTAACCGTTTGTCACTCATTTCCCAACGTCTTGTCTCTTCTCACAATTCAAGTTCCTAGAATCAACCCACCCGCGCCTAAAACATGGCTTCATCCCAGAGGTCGCAATCGGGTACCCGATACCCGTACCCTACCCGATACCCGGCTGGGTACGGGTAGCCGGATATTAGGTAGGGTACGGGTACGGGTACCCGTTTGCGACCCTGATGCGGCCGGGTACGGGTACGGAATCAATACCTGTTTGCGACCTCTGGCCCGTGGCTCCGGGTTGCCCCTCCGTGCTTTCGGAGTCAACGACTCTCTGTTCGAGAATGGCCTGAAATCAAATGTATCATTCCGGATGTCCGCTGTAAAGTACGATCTTGAGTTTTGATGAAAGTGTGCTGATCTTTAAAGGTGTATTGACAAATTTCGATTCTGCTACTGATACTCGTGCTGTTATGGAGTGACTCATGCAGCCAGCTATGGCTGCAAAGTTTGGTCGAACATGTTATGTAATATCGTTTAATGTTAAGTTTGAATCACAGTTCCTATGATCACTGTAACATTGTTTTTATAGCTTTATTTTGGTGATTTTGAAAACGTTTTGGTTTAGCCATGTTTGTTTGTTGTAGTACAGAGTTAGCCTGATAACTATAATCTAAATTGTCTTACGGTTGTTATTGTTTCCCTGGGATTTTTGCACACAGCGTTGAAATGCGGTGCTTTTTCTGGAAGACTTTGCTGTTTTTTTACCCAGGATTTTTCTGTTGCGTGTAGTCACTTTAAGATGTTTTCTTGTTCATGTTTTTGTTTTGTTGCGGTGGCACCCGAGTCAAGAGCCGCATGGCTCACAGGGTTATCCCCACATATATAAAAGGCAAAGATGTGATTATGTGTGTCTGTTCAAAATGTTTAGCGTACTTCCCGACATGCAACAAACTGGAAATTTGCCATGTGGGTACTTTCCAGACTGTACACCATGCACAAATGAGAAAAATTCACATTTTTTTTTTGGGGGGGGAGCTCAATAATGCATATAAGTTTTGCACGGTAAGTGAACTGTGACGTCACATCTGTCACGTGACCCGCGCATGTGGAAGCGTAATGCATTGTAGTGTAGCGGTTAGCGCTACGCTGCGCTACGAACCCGGCGACCCGAGTTCGATTTCCGCTCACGGCCAACACCGGTGACGATTATTTGAACCGGTCCTGGGCCTCCCCTAGGTCAACTCAGCCTCAAACGAGTAACTGCTGTGGTGTGTGGTGGTGCGGGTAACGACGACCACTGCGACTACGACGCATCGCTGAACAGCGGTCGTGACGGCGAGGGTCGCCGTTACACTCTGGAATTGTTGTTGATGTTGTTGTGTCGAGCCCAGGCCAGCCCAGTTTGACTCCGCCATCTTGCCCACCATCGGTGACGATTAATCTCAACCAGTTGCTGGGCCCTCAAATGATCCTCATGGCGGTACCCCGGGGTACAAAATAATACAAAATGGCCGAGGCAATTAAATATTTTATCTCTGGGACGCCATTTTTTCCCATGGGGTGTTACTTAACTCCGCAACTGGGGTACCAATCAATCTGAAATCAGTGCCACAATCCGCGATGTCGAAACGCGGCGTGGACGATTGCGCCGAAACCCTGAACGCTCGCGTACGCACCGTGGCGGTGGTACAGCTCGTCGAGATGAGTCCATAATCGCATCACCGACCATCGACGGACTAAAAACGACTGCATCACGGACACTGTGTGAGAAGCCGGGCTACCATGATACCCCGGGGTACCGCCATGAGGTTCAGATGAGCAACTGGTGTAGCGGCACGTGGTGAACGACGCGACTCGGCAGAGCCAACGGTGGGGCCGGGGCGTCGTGCTGGTTGGCCAACCCCCGCTTGTGCCACAGTGCCGGTAGCCTTCATAGGTGCTGCTGCGACTCGCCAATGGCACTTGCCCCAACAGTCTGTTGCAGGCTACACGGGGGATCTTTGTCTTTGGTAGAGGTAGCGGTTCGCGCGCTACGCTGCACGACGAACCCGGCAACCCGAGTTCGATTCCCGCTCACGGCCAATACCGGTGACAAATGTCTGATCCGGTCCTGGGCCTCCCCTAGGTCGACTCAGCCTTAAGTGAGTATCTGGTACGGTGAGTGAACATCGCCACTAGCGAGACAAAGGCGGCCGGACGTGGTGCTGGCCACCCACCCCCTCGCGTGCACAGTGCTGGCCTTCGTAGGCGCTCGCTAACAGCACTTGCCCCAGCAGTCTGTCGCAGGCCACGCGGGGGACCTGTGCCTTTGTCGCGTGTGTTTATCATTCCGCTGAAGATGCGCACGGTGACGGACCCTGGCGCTGCCTGCTCAAGGCAAAGCGCCAAGGTCAGCCGCATCAGTTCGTCGCGTGACGGAGCGGCTCCCGAAATGAAAAGAGACGGCGCCCGGTCACGAGAGAACGGGCGAGAGAGAGAGAGACACAGAGCGAGGGAGGAAGGGAGTGGGTGAGAGAGGGAGGGGAGGGAGGGAGGGAGGGAGGGAGAAGAGGGAGGGAGGGAGGAGAGGGAGGGAAGAGAGAGAGGGAGGGAGGAGAGGGAGGGAGCGGGCGAGAGAGGGTGGATGGAGAGGGAGGGGACGGAGGGAGGAGAGGCAGGAAATGGAGGGAGGAAGGAGAGGGAGGAGAGGGAGGGAGGAGAAGGAGAGGGAGGAATGAGAGGCAAGAAAGGGAGGAGAGAGATGAAAAGGGCGAGCGAGAAGGCAAGAGGGAGCGGGAGACAGAGAAGAATCGAGCGAGAGAGGGAGCGAGAATGAGAGAGAGCAAAAGGGAGAGAGAGCGAGATGGAAGGAGGGGAAGAGGAAACGAGATTAAGTGGGTGAGCGAGAAAGCAAGTGTGAGTGAGATAGAGACACAAAGATAACAAACAGGACAGGCAGATCACGTGGCGGCCACAGAGAGAGACGGCCGCAGGGAGACAGGCGCAGGGTTGAACTGCTGGGTGGAGCCCGTTTATACCGCTGGGTGGAGCCCGTTTATACCGCAGGGTGGGACTCGTTAATAGCGCTGGG